GACTCAGGGACTCTGCTGATCCACAGGGACTGCTGATCCACGTGACGCAGGGACTCCGCTGATCCACAGGGACTCTGCTGATCCACGTGACGCAGGGACTCTGCTGATCCACAGGGACTCTGCTGATCCACGTGACGCAGGGACTCTGCTGATCCACAGAGACTCTGCTGATCCACGTGACGCAGGGACTCTGCTGATCCACGTATATTTAGAGTAGTTCATGGAAGTCCCGTGTGTCAGCCAGCTCGGCTCAGTCGCAGCCCTGTCGTGTGCTACAACGTGTTCGGTCTTTTTAAATGACGTGTCAGGAAATGTCTGCTTCGCTCCACATCACTCGTTTGTTTCTCCATCGTTACGTGCACTTTCTTAGAACACTTCGTCCCTCCGGTTGTTCTCAGCCCTCGGATGTTTCACGTTCACAGCTTGGTTACACGCAGCGTGGCTCAATTGGACACGTTGAGAGAAAGGCCTGGAGCGGGTTTGAGAGCAGCCCACCGTCCCTGCCTCTGTCACGGTGCCCTCTGCTGAGCAAACAGGAAGCTCCTGCAGACCCCCCTGCCAGGGCCAGCCCTCCGGCCTTCACCCTCGCCCCACTCTTTTTTTGAATAGGTGAAATGGTAACTCACTTTTTGCCAAGTTGCCTAGCAAAGCGTTTTTCTCCTCACATGATCCGTCTGTTTCTGCCCCATACAGAAATGTGTAAGTGCACAACAGAGGCCGGCCGGTCTGAGCATGCCAGGGTGGTCCCGGATCATTCCACCTGTGTTCCTGCCTAAACTGCCGTTTTATTACATTTATTGTGCCCTCACTTTCTCTTTGCAGTGAATTAGTTGAAAATATGGCTCCCCTGGCAGTTTTCTTTGTTTGGATCAGTCCATTGTTCCCTGGGGGGGGGGTGACTATGGTGCGTGTGACTTCTAGTACTGTTGCTTGACGGTGTCCCACCATCTCTTCCTCCTCGTTCATTTGTCAGTGCGCTTCCTCTGGTTTAAGCAGCTGAAGGCGCACGCTGCTGCATCCTGATGTGCTGGGGGGGCTTCGTTGTTACGGGGAGGGGTTAACTTGTACTTAATTTTCTTGAAGCTCGGGCAAAGAGCTGCCAGCAGCTGTGCTACATTTACCATAAAACTTAGTTTTTAGCAGAGCGGGTGGTTTGAGTGGGGACGTGCTCGTGACGTGTCATTTAGGAACTTGGAATAAATCTTCACTTTTGAATCAGTTCTCTTGGAAAAACTACTTTCCATGTTCCGTTTTGAAGCTATGCTGTGACCTTGCAGCTTTTTAACACTTTACTGTCACTGGTAAAGACAAACCTGTTTACTGTATTTTTTGGATTAAGTACATTTTAACCCTAGGTTTTTGTTGGGTTTTTTTATACAGCAAATTCAAAAAGCATTGTTGCAGTTATACACAACGTTTTTTGTTACAAAATGTTTTGTATTTCTGCTGCGGACCAATATTTTATTTTTTGTATGGAAATGTTGAACCAGTTTCCCCACACTGTTTTGTTCTGAAGTTAAGAGATCTTTCTAAGCTAACTCGATTATGTTTGTGTAAGTTTTGACTTCCCTTGTGTGTAAATCCCAAGGAAGGGAAAGTCAAAAGGCCCCCCTGCTGAGAGGGTTAGAGGGGTGCAGGTACACGTGTGTCAGGATGTACTGAAGGAGACGTTTGCTGTTTTCTTTCTTTTGTTTCTTTGGATGGTCAAGATGTGCTAAATACATGTGCTATGAGCTTGATGCTTCAATAAAGATGCTTATTTGTGCAATCACTGTGGAGGTTTTATTTTTTTAACAACAACTTTATTCTGTTGGGTCCCTCTACGGTTCAAGAGTTTGGTTCACATCGCCGGCAGTAAGTCGGATCCTTCGGGGTGGGAGTTGGACTCTGCCAGCGCTGCCCGTTGTCACAGATTCTGTTCAGAACTTTTATGGACAGGATTTCTCTGAGTAGAGACAGAAATAACGAGATTTCAGATACACGAGGTTGAAATGAGTTTCCTCCACAGTCTAGCTGGACTCCTTTAGAGAAAGGGTGAGAAGTTTGGTCATCCAGGAGAGACCGAGTAGAACCACTTGTCCACATCGAAAGGAGCCATTTCAGGTGGTTCGGGCTTGTCCGACTTGGAGGAGACCCCGGAAAAGACCCAGGACAAGCTGGACTGGAGAGACTACGTCTCTCGGCTGGCCTGGGAAAGACTGTGTCCTCCCAGAAGAAGTGGCTGTGGAAAGAGCTGCCTGGGCCTTCCTGCTCAAACTGCTGCCCCCGAGACCCGACTTCAGAGTTCATGCCCAGATGTGAGGGGAGGAACGTAGACGGACCAGTAAACCGAGGTTTGCCTTACAGCTCAGCTCCCTCTTCACCCCAGCAGACCAGTAGTCTGCATTATTGAAGACTCTGCACCTGTCCATCTGTCGCTCCATTCTTCCCTCACTCGTGAACAAAACCCCGAAATACTTGAACTCCTCCACTTGAGGCAGAACTTCACCCTGGACCTGAAGACAATCCACACTTTTCCGGTTGAGGACATGGCCCCAGATCTGGAGGTGCTGATTCTCATCCTCCTTCACACTCGGCTGTGAACCGCTCCAGTGAGAGCTGGAGATCACGGCACGATGACGCCAACAGGACCACATCATCTGCAAAGAGCAGAGATGGATCCTGAGGCCACCGGACTGGGCTCCCTCCACCCCCTGGTTAAGAGTAAGCAGAAAATAATGGATGGATGGAAAATCTCATTTTTATGGATTTTTTTAGTAAGTTCTCCCATGTAACGTGGTTGGTACTTGCAGTTTCACACAACATTTGTGGAAAGAGTGTAAATGAGACTAAATGCACTCTGGCTGTTCACAACTAGTCACTTGTCTTAATTCAATAGTTTGTAGAGCCAGCATGTGCATCAAGTCTTGAGGTGAGCTCCATGATCCCAGTCCATCCAGACTGGACTTTGTCTATTCTTCGTGCAGCTCCTGCTGGTGTAGGGTGCTGCAGACTTGTGTCCAACAAGCTTTGGAGCAAACCAGTGAATTGAGATCAAACCAGTTGAATGGAGTTGTGGGCTTTGACCAGACCATTTTCCAGAACCTTTTAACCAGGGCTCAATTTGTAAACCGATTGATGCCGGAACGCAAATAGCAGGTGGACCAGCTGGGGAGGGAGTCCTGGGGAACGAGCTGCTCACAAGACAAGAACCCAACAACTTGTTTAATGACATCAAATATATTTTGTTGGCAAAGAACAGAGTCACAACATTTATTAAACATTACTTTGTGGTGGACACAAACATTTAAAGGTGCTGGTCATAAAATTAGAATATCATGAAAGAGCTGATTTATTTCAGTAATTCCATATAAAAGTTTAACTTGTATATTGTATCCAGAGTCCTGTAAAGAGAGAACTGCGACACTCTGAACTCTCTGAACTCACCGATCCGCGGTCACGTGGTTCATGCAGCTCCAATAGTTCCAACCAGTTCATCCTGTCAGTCAGTCTGAGGCTGCTGGAGCAACACGACACTAAAATCATCTTTTCTTACTTTACCTGTGTCTTTCAGTAATTACTGATCAGTAACGAACTGATTATTGATTATTTCACAGACTATCCATTTTATCAAAGTGTTATTAGAAACAGCTGATACATTTATCATTAAATTATAGAAGGAAACGAGACTGCAAACACATATTTGTTAGTGTTAACTGTGCAAAAATAAATTTCCAAACAATTTGTTATAAAATATGTAAAATGTAAAGCAAGCTTTAATAAAGTACTTTTACTGCCATTTATACTGTTTATTAATGACATCATCTCAAGTCAGCACCATCATCATCATTGTAACGAGATAATATGCGTCTGATATTATCCTTCATTTAAACGGATTCTTTCATTTTTCTGGACTAAGTCATATCGTGCTTTGTGGAGTAAATGTGGACAGAGACGTGTTTAAATTTCTGACTCACCAACAACAGTGGGTCGTTTATTTTAAACGATTTAAAAACACATCACACATTTACATTAATTGACAGATTGATTACAATTACACAGCTTAATTAATGAGCTTTACAATGAGAAATCATACGACCATGATTTCTCACTTGCAGTTTTGAACAACAGACATTTCTGAAGCTATCTGGATTAATTACTGGCAAGATAGAAGTTTAAAGATGGGAAAATGAAGGAGTTTAAATGGAGAGAAAATGGATGAGGGAAAAGTGTGTTGATAACGAACGGCACCCTCCTTTCGACCAGCTCCCTTCGGTACACTTCGGTAGTGGAAATCGACTCCTTACCTTGCAGAAGATACCTCAGCTTCGGTGTAGAGTTCCCTTTCAACGTTACCATTTCAGCGTCTCCGTAGGATAGCAGAGAAACGTCCGGAGTAGTGACGGTACTTCGTTCAACAGCACGCTCACCTCCCGGGTGGACTCACATGAGCTGTGAGCCCGTCAGAGTTCCACTCAGATGTGGAAGATTCCATAATCCCCACGAGACTCGGAAGAACTCCCAACTAACTCCAGCCCTTCAGAACTTTCGTTCGGTTCTGCTCCCAGAACTTTGAACTCCTCTCACTCCTCTCCTCTCTCTCTGACTGGAACTAGGAAGTGTCGACTTCTTAAAGAGTTCGCTTCCGGTCCCTTTTTGGGAAATCCTGATTGGTTGAAAGAACCAACAGGGGTGTGGTTTTAGTGACGTAAGAGGTTACTACAAGTCAGAAAAACAGTAAGATGTTTTTGGAACAGACAGAGAAATGTTTAGGCGAGATGACAGACCACAGGCGCCAGCTCTTTCTTATTTCTGTCTGATAGGTTTAAAAACATGACAGTTCATTCTAATAACTTCTTTCTGACTTTTGACCGACATCACTCCTCCTCATTTCAGACGGAAGATCAAAAAATGCATAATTACTCTGTAACAGACATTAACTTGATTTCTACTTTGAATGAGGATTAAAAATCATTAATACTGTTTC